AGATCTAAGGGAGGGGGCCGGGAGCCTGGACTCCGGGTCTGAGGGAGGAGGGGGTGAGGGCCTGGACCCCCACATCTAAGGGAGGGGGCCAGGGGCCTGGACTCTCCGGGTCTGAGGGAGGAGGGGGTGGGGGCCTGGACCCCCATATCTAAGGGAGGGGGCCGGGGGCCTGGACTTGGGGTCTGTGGGGGGAGGGGTTGGAGTGTCTAGTGCCTCCATTTCCTCTGTTTCCAGATGATGCACCTGTTCCAGCTCCAGTTGGTGACCAGAAAGACTTGGACACTTCAGAAAAGAAAGTTCCAGAACAGCCCCCTGAGCTGCCCCAGCCTGACTCCCAGAACCTGTGATCCTCCAGGGACCCCAGCCCTCTGGGATCTACTGAGGCCACTGATGGGACACAGGTGTCATAATCAGCCTCCTCCGGGGAACTCATGTCACCTCCTGGAGGAGGGGCCCCGGGAGGCACTGCACACACTGCTGCCCGCGCCCCACTTCTGCCCGCCTCAGCCTCCCAGTCTGTGGTCCCTTCTTTCTGTGCCCCTCCTGGGGTTCTGCCTTCTTTCTGGGCCAGCGGGGTCCCCTGGACCAGCCTAACACAGGGCCACCCGCTCCCTCCCAAGAGGGTCTGTCCCAGACCTGCCTTTCTAGGTGGTTTAACCTCAGCTGCCCGGATGAGGCCGCTCCAGCCCCTCAGCTGCTGGACTCCTGCCTGCTGCTCTGGGCCCAGCTGTTGGTTTGCGGGACTGGGGTGCTCGTTTGAGAACTCTGTACCATTTGTGGGGCCAGCGATGCCTCAAAGATGGTAGCTTCCCATGCACAGCTGGGGGCAGGACAGCAGTGTCCTCAGCAGGGGTGATGGACATTGACACCAGGACCCCAGGCGACCCCCACCCCGGCCTCCAGCCAACTGTTTCCGCCTCCTCTCTGATGGCTCCGGAAGGGCCCGCGACTGACTGTGTGGCAGGATCAGGGGCCAGGCCTGAGCCCAGGTGGCAGCCCAACAAGGTGGGCCCTGGCCCTGCTCTCTTCTCTGATTCCATCCAAATACACTTTCTGGAACGAGCCCCTCTGCTGTGTCTGTGTGTGAAGCCCCAGCCCACCTGGCCTGTCAAGGTCCCTGTTCTTTTTTTCTTTTTTTTTTTTAATTACAATAGGAAATTATTTTTGAAAGCATAAGGGAACACTGGCCTTTGAAGAAGGCGATAAACAGGTCTCCGTTGGACCTGTTTTCATGCAGATTTGTGAGGCACCATGACCTGAGCTGTGCGCTAGGAAGATGGTACTGGAGGGAGCCTATCCACGCATTCTTCAGCTTGCGTCACTTCCGCTCAGCTCCGAGTTTCAAACCTGTTTGAGAAAAAGAGGAAAAGTTGTGCAAAGTGTTCAGGTTTATCCCTGGAGTCCCACTGAGGTTTCTGTATTTGAAATGGGGTTCGGCGCCTGGCTGGTTGGTCAGGAAGAGGCCATCACTTGCCTGGGGCTGGAAGCCTGGGAGACCGGAGCCAAAGTCTGTGCCCCAAGCAGTGTTCTCTCCGGCACGGTCTACGCTCCAGAGACTCCGGAAGAATGAGGCGGCCTGGCCCTGGCGCGCTGTCGTGCGGTCCCTCACATGGTTGAGTCCTCGTGACCTTACTTCAAGGTGTTTTCTGCTCATCACCTCCTTCACGCCCCATCACCTGTAGGGTGAGCTCTTTGGCCCTGCCCGCATGGCCCAGCCGACCTCTGGCTCATTCTCTCACAAGCGTCCCTCCCACTCCTGCTCCAGGCTGCCGTTTCCAGCCGGAGCCAGTTCTCTGGTCAGTGAAGGGACACCTCCTCTCCTTTCAGACCTGAGAAGCCCCCATCAGAATCCTGCAAGATGGCGTCTGACTACCTCCCAGTCTCCCCAGCCTTTGCTGGGCTGCAGTCTCCTAGGAGTCCCCTTCCCCAGGCCCCTCCCACAGGGCTCTGTGGCCATGTCTCACTGTTGTGACAACAGAATATCCCTGCATTTTTAAAAAGGTTTATTTGTGCATGGAAGAGCTGAGGTACAGGCCAGAGGTGCAGGGGGTTAGAGGATTCACCAGAGACAGTGGGGAGCAGAACAGGCAGATGTCTGAAATACACTGCCGAGGGGGGCAGCGAGGGACAGGAGCGGACTGCTGTACCATGTAGGTCACCTCCCGGGCTGGGGTTTGAACTCGTGCCACAGTGGCTGCCAATAGCTTCATAGTGCTGAACCCCTTGTGTGACCAGGGAAGCCCCAAATAGTGCTGATTTTTACTCATATGGTGTCTTCAGGACTGTGTCCCAGAGGTTCTAGGGGAGAATCTATGTCCTCATCTTTTCCAGCTTCTAGGTGTCACCTGCATCCTTTGGCTGATGGCCCCATCTGCCATCATCAAAGCCACAGTGTTGCATTTTCCCTTAATCTCTCCCAAATCTCTTAAAATCTTCATCACTTGTGAGCTGATCGCCTGTCTTCCTCTGGCAAGGAAGTCTTCCTCTTGCTAGGCAAGAGGAAGTGTCATTTGCAATGACACTGATTCATTTGCAATGACACTGAGCCCAACAAGCCATCCGAGGTCATCCCCCGTCACCTTGATCATGTTTGCAAAGATCCTTCTATTGTGGGCTGGTGATGAAATGGGGATGTATTTGGGAGGTGAGCATTAGTGAGCCCATCACAGGCTGTGTCTGTTTACCCTATCTGAGGGGGCAGGGAGCAGCGAGAGTTTCCACCAGCTCACGGCAAAGTCCAGAGCGGAGCTGTTGGCTGAATACAGGAGTCACGTCAGTGATGGGTACCACAGTAAGAGGCTGCCCAAGCGAGGTGCCCCTTCTGAAAGACCTTCAGCCTCCCTTCCAAGCGCTCTGGGGAACGGAAGGGCTTTCTCCCCTGCCCAAGCCCCCAGCCCCATCTTCCATCACACCCACCCTCCCTCTCAGCTCTCAGGACACCAGCCTTGCGCCTGCTGTTCCCTCTGGCACTGTTCCCTGCCCTACCTAGCTCCCTCCCGACCCTGGCCTGATACCTGCATGAGGACGGAGAACATGTATCTCATTTCAGACTGTCCCCAGGACCTGAGGGCTCAGGTGCTCAACAAGGACCTGTGTTCCTTTGAGAAGCCTGGCAGGATCTCGGAAGTTATTTCTGGGATTCCTGGCTCTGAACCAGCTGAGCCAGAGCCTTCCCCTCTCACCAGCTTCCTCCAAGGTCTCCAAACGATGTCAACAAGGCCTGCAAAAAGCTGTCACCCAAATTCCTACAAGTTCTAGCTCAGACTGGATTTACCACATGTACAAAACCACCACCTGCCTTGTCTACTTGTAAAGAGAACAAGAGAGTGAGAAAGTGTGTGTCTTTCTCAGGGCACAACCCCACAGTGTGGGGAGATGAGCCCCTGTCAAGCAGCCCTTGCCAGAAGACAACAAAGAATGTCTTGTCTGTTTGCTAACCCCTTGACTCCTAAATTCCCTCTCTGCCCTCAGTTAATTCCCTGCCTCGTGCTTAACCCCCCCCCCCCCGGGGTGCCTCCTGGGGACAGAGGGTGCCTGACCTGCTGAGTGTATTCCCGTCCTGGGTCAGTGGTTTCCTTAATTATGAACTAAATCAAACATAGTGCAGCAGTTCAGCAAGTGGACTCTGAGACCAGAGCTGTTAGGTTTCAACCCCAGCACCCACTCCCTAGATGTGTGACTTCTGGCAAGGATTGTGACCCTCTGTGCCTGGGTTTCCTCACCCAAAATAGGGGGCCTGCTTCAGAAGGTCTGGTGAGGGTGATATATTCAGGAAGACTTTGAAACAGAAGCCAGGAGAGATGTGCCTGCCAAAAAGCTTGGGAATAGATCCATAGGCAAATGAAATTATGCAGAAAATTACAGAGAGATTAGCAAACACGCTTGGACACGCCAGGCCTCAACATAATGGCTTCAGATTTCTTGAGCCATAAGTGATTTTTTTTGCATAGTTTTAGAAAATATAAGTATGTCAATGTAGAGTATTTTATATACTTTGGGTTGTTTTTCTTGTAACAGTAGTGTATTTCAGTGGATCTGCCTGTTCTGCTCCCCACTCTGTCTCTGGGGTATCCTCTCACCTCCGACACCCCTGGCCTACACACCGATTCTTGCATGCTTACATAAATCTTAAAAAAAAAAAAAAAAGACAGCCAAGAAAAGGCAAGACACCTGGCCCCAGGCTCTTCTGAGGAGGGACAGCCTAGTTTCTGAAAGGATAGTCTCTGGAAACTGCCAAATTTGCCGTTTCTTCTGTCCCGTCTGTAACAGGGGACGACAGAACCTAGTAAGCCATCTGTCATGCCAAATTCGGAACGAGGAAAGAAAGCGTGAAAGTGGGGTGCTGGGCCATAGCAGGAGCTCCACAAATATCAGTGATTACTATTATCTTTGCTACTAGACACTCCCTCGCCGCCTCCTCTCTCCTCCCTCTGTCCATCCTTC